TTTTTTCTTCGCAACATTCCCAGCACATGCGTTACACTCCATGGTTCCTGGTCTTAATGTCATTGAAAAGGCAACAAAAAATTTATTACCATGGTGTCTGTTGAAAACAACCTCATCGTCTCTCCTGCCGTTCCTGAAAATAAAAGCCGTCAGCGTTTAGGATGTTGAAGAATAGCTATAGAACGGAGTGCATTCTGCTTGATTTATTTTTAAGTTCATACTTCTATATTCAAATGAATGATACCTTTCGAATTGGCTCGAAAATATCCTAGAATAAAGTAGTTTTAGTCTTTTAGTCGACTCAGCGAATCTCTGCAATTGCATGCTCTCTTTAGTTTTAGGGCTGGATTCGGGCAAATGAAAGCGAGAAAGACTTTTGTTACCCTATCCCTAGAAGGAATGCTAAAATTACTCTTCTACATACTTACGAATCAGGACTGACCCCATCATTCCTTGTGCTCGTATATCCATTGAATGGTGGAGGTGGTATAGTGGCAAGTGGCGTACTGTCACATACGCATGATCCAAGGTTCAAATCAAGGAGGTACTTACATAGGCAACCAAGCCCTCCATCCCTTCGGGCTCTCGCTTACCAGGCTCATCTGGCAGGGAAAAGCACTGACTTGTACATCGGCTGGTCCTCTCTATCCAGTGAAGTCATCAGCAAACTCAAGACCAGGAATTCTTTGGTCTTCACTGGATGCCTCTTCCCTTCATTGGCAATTAACACCCTTACATATTTTGATTTCGAGGCTATGGAGACCATACTAAGCGGAATAAAGAGAAACACATTCCCCTAGAGAATTTCGGATTGTGATGAAGATCAAGCAATCTATCCGAAAGTATGCTCACCCTAGCTATTTCAGGTGTACAGGATTTCGACTCGATCCGTTTTGCAACCTATCGTGCCGCATGCAAATTACGGTTCATCCAAAAGAAAACAAATGGTAAGCTGTTGATGATGCATTTTTGATGGATGAATTCTCAGTCACGGCAAGCAACTGCCCGAGTTCAATCAGTATGGCGGCGTTCAAGATTGTAAGGTTTTTCAAATAGGTGTCTCCTAAAGTTAACTTTGTGCTTCGGTTTCTTTGTAATGTAGAAATGCAACTGTGATTAATTGAAGCTGTTTGAAAAGATGTGTAAGTGCCGCAGAAGGAGAAACTATGTAGAGCTCAGTCACTACCCGTAGCACTATCTTATTCACCCGTCGGTTAAGTGGACGCAAGTCGCGCAATTACAGTCCTCGAGAGGCATCACCCATCTATGGTAGACTCGATTTTCATGTGAAACTATGAATGGATACGCTTTGGAACCTCCTCTGTAATGAAGAAATAATAGTTCTATAAAACCGTCATGTCAATCCTTCAGAACTACAACTTTGATTCATTTTTTTACGTAACATAATCCTTTTAAGAACTCCACCCTCTCATGATGAGCGTCCTATTTCTCTTGATTTCTTGGTTTGATTTCTTGCTTTTTTTTCAATTTCATTATTTTCAGTACATTTGGTGGACATCTGGAATATGATCGAATCATTTCGAGAAAACGGTCTGAATGCGATGCCTATACACACTCAGGTAAATTCAACGATGGCTTCTGGTGGGGAATGGAACCATTTGTTTGTTTTGTCCCTTTTCTTCACAAGAGAGAACGCCCACGTTAAATACGTAACTCGTATGTAATTGCATATGTACGCTCATAAATCTAAGAATATTAGTCAATTAACATATTGCTTAGAACGGGAACCTAGAAGGAACGGGTTCCATCAGGTAGTGTAGTGTATGTATGTATGTACACACACAGAGGGTGAGGAATAAATTACTCCTAACTTTTTAATACCGCACGCAATCTCTTCCTCATTATTCGCCTTTCCCCTTACACAA